TTGTGACTTCGTGCTAGTACGACAATAGACGGCTTCTGAACGGTTCCGTCTACCCAATTTCACTCGCATGGCTTGGCTCAACCTGTGGTACGCTTTTTGAGCAATTTTCCAGAGGTGCCGCGCGATTAAATTGTCTTTAAATCTACAGACACACGTATAAATATTACCATCGTTTACCTATAAAGACACCAGTATAAACCTGACCAATATCTACTAAAACGTTCAAATATTATCCCACTGTTCATCGACATGAAGTGGAAAGATTATATTGAAACAATGTCCCCATATCCCCAGTCCAGAACAGATCTAAAATCAATTTTCAATTGAATTTTATTTTATAGTTACCAAATTTTCCTACCGTGTCAAAATTACCAAATTTTCCGTTACCGAATTTTCCTACCTTGTCACAATTACCGAATTTTCCGTTACCAAATCTTCCTACCTTGTCAAAAATCACCGAATTTTCCGTTATCGAATCTTTCTAACTTGTCAAAATTACCGAATTTTGCGTTACCAAATTTTCCGTTGTCGAATCTCCCGTTACCGAATTTTTTGTTACCGAATTTTCCTACCTTGTCAAATTTACCGAATGTGCCGTTATCGAATTTTCCGTTATCGAATCTTCCGTTACGAATTTTCCGTTATCGAATTTTCTGTTACTTAATTTTCCTACCTTGTCAAAATCACCGAATTTTCCGTTATCGAATCTTTCTACCTTGTCAAAATTACCGAATTTTCCGTTACCAAATTTTCCGTTATCGAATTTTCCGTTACTGAATTTTCCTACCTTGTCAAAATTACCGAATTTTCCATTACCGAATTTTCCGTTACCGAATCATCCGTTACCGAATTTTCCAAAATTTAATTCATTCATATAAAGAACATTCAACAATTAGTACGGGTAGTAGGGTGGGGTTTCTCTAAATAACGTTGTTTTTGTTTAATTTTTTGTAAATATATTTTAATCGTCGTAAATATTGTGGGAATTTTTAATATTTTATTTTTACCCAACTCCATAAAAACGTCCAGTTATGGATGAATGATAACCTCATAGAAAGATTTTGGTAATTTGGTGACTGTAGTAAAGAATGGTGTACAAGAATGTGGGGTTATGCTGAATGGAACATTATCAGACAAATAGGTCAATGAACGTAGGATAGATGAAGACCAGCCTTCCATTTCCCCCAATTTCAGCCGTGCGGCATATTTGATGTAATATATTCACCAATAAATATTATTATTGTGTCTGTAGTGTGACTGATAAGTATAAATGCGATTGTTTCGTCTCTCCAAAAATATTAGTGCTACTGGCTGTCAGGGTTCGAAAAGAAAAACAAGAGCGACCAGCCGTCCCTAACCTCGATGTTGGCCTAATGCCATATGTGTATTTTTAATGCTATAAATAGTTTCATTAAGCAATAGTAAAATTATGCAATGGTTAGCAATCTTGTCTCGCTAGATCCATTATAACTGTTTAGTGATTTCGATCCGATCTTGGTACCCAATACTTGCACCCTTGTGCTATATCTCCGATTCAAAAAGCTTGACATGGGTCCAGTTTACACTCCAATCAAAAAGGAAGACATATGTTCAATTTACACTAGAGTAAAAAAGACATAGGTCTGGTTTAAATTACAGTCAAAAAGGTAGATATAGAGTCAATTTACACTACAGTTAAAAGGGTAGACATATGTACAGTTTACACTACGGTGAAAAAGATAGACATAGGTCCAGTTTACACTAGAGTGAAAAAGGTAGGTATTGGTCCAGTTTACACTGGAGTGAAAAAAAGTAGATATTGATACAGTTTACATTTGAGTGAAAAAGGTAGATATTGGGCCAATTTATACTAGAGTGAAAAGGGTAGATATTGGTACAGTTCACACAAGTGAAATAGGTAGACATAGGTCCGGTTTACACAAGAATGAAAAAGATCGACATAGGTCCAGTTTATATTAGAATGATACAGATAGACATTGCTCCAGTTTACACAAGAGTAAAAAAGGTAGATATTGGTACAGTTGACACTAGAATGAAATAGGTAGATATAGGTCCGGTTTAAAATACAGTGAAATAGATAAACACAGGTCCAGTTTACACTAGAGTGAAAAAGGTAGGTGTTGGTCCAGTTTACACCAGAGTGAAAAAGCTAAATATTGGTCCAGTTTACACGATAGTGAAAAAAGTAGATATTGATACAGTTTACATTTGAGTGAAAAAGGTAGATATTGGTCCAGTTTACGCTAGCATGAAGAAGATAGACAAAGGTCCAGTTTACACTAAAATGAAAAAAAGTAGACATTAGAGCAGTTTACATTTGAGTAAAAATTGTAGACTTAGATCCAGTTTACACTATAGTGAAAAACATAGACACAGTAAGGTAGAAATTGGTCAGTTTTGTACTCGCATCTGTAAACAAGCAACTGGAAGTTTGCTCCCTTTGGTGGGGGGCAACCAACAGGTCAATCTTAAATACTAGCCTATACACCTACATTGGTTGGACATCTGATTTTACGTTTGATATAAAATCTCGCTCACCAAGAATTCTGTCCTTACTCTTGTAGAAATTCACTCATTACCTCTCATTTGTTGGTCACAAGAAACATAACGCGCCAAAATAGCGCTAATATTATTAGGCATGTTTCTATTTCCCGCGTTCGTATGCTACACCTGTTGTGTTAAAGGTAACAGAAAATTAAGAACACTTACTGAGATTTCTGACATGATAAATCATTATTTCCTCCTCACTGCTGTAGAGCGACGCTCTGAGCTTAAAATAAAATACTGAATTTTGAGGGCATCAAAGCAACATCCTCTCTGTGAATAGAGAAAGAGGAATAAAAAGCTTGAATAAATAAAATAAAAATATTTGGGATCAAGTGCTATTCGATCTGATGATAGGGGATTCCGGTCATGTACTTATGTAGTCGGACCGTATTCAGAATGAAAAGTAACAGTTATACCATACATACCATAGCGATAGCTTTCGCTTGATGGGAGGAGGAGGAAGAAGAAGAAGAACTACTACTACTACTACTACAGTAAGTGTGCGGGTAGCTCAAAGGTTATTGGTACAGAAAGTTGGTCCAACCAGTGTTTTGCGATTAAGTATTCATTAGCATTGACATTTGTCTATGAAGTATTCTAGCGAGTATCCTCATCTTTGTTGTTTGGATCACTGCATTTTTAAGCCGTTTTTTTTTTTTTTTTTTACCCCATAATTTCGCGTGCTGCTTGGGTGTGCTGAGAAGAAAAAGCATTATCATTAGTACTTGGATTATTCGAACGAATATCCTCATCGTTGTTGTATTGATCATTCCATCTTAGACTGATGTGTCCTCCATCAGTTTAAACATTGCTTCAAGGCCGGCGCTCCCAAGAAGGAATTATTATTATTATTATTATTATTATTATTATTATGCTTGTTTTGTTTCTTAGTTCGTTGGTTAGCACACACCTTACACGCTGTTATTACCTCAGATAAACAATAAACCATTCCCGTTTAGTTGCGAGAATAGACAGAAGGAAATATGTTTCAAAGGCGCTGTTTGTTCTTAAGGAAAGGAAGGAAAAGTAAAGTTTGTTTGTTTGATCTATTTTTTACGGCTTATCGACCCTTTGTGGGTTATTTAATCTTGAAACCTGTTTCGGATTGCAAGATGTTGCTTACAGTACACGGCGTTCCCAAGCGGTACCTCATTTAATTAGTAACCGGCCTCGACGCTGCTTAACTTTGCGAGAACCGGTGTTTTCAACTTGATTTGGCCGTAGGAGAAAGAAAGAAAGAAAGATTTGTTTTTTACGGCTTATCAACCTTTTGCAGGTTATTTAAAGCCAGAAAATATTTTTAGATTTTTTTCAGATAATAATGTTTTAATGATGCAAACCTTACTACTTAACCAATAGCTGGAGGAGAATATATGGATTTCATACCTTTCCCAATGGTATGTCAGTGCAAGTGAATATAACGAACCCAACGGGAATTTGAACTAGGCTCTCCGATTGACAATTCTGAGCCGTTATCGATTTTACCACCCGCACATCCAATCTTACAGCATCTCGTATTCCCAAGTGGTCACACATCTAGGTATTGACCAGGTTCGGCGTTGCTTGACTTCGGGAATCGTATAGGAACCAATGTTTCAACGTGGCGAGGCCGTAACCAAGAAAGAAAGAAAAAGGAAGCGATAATGCTCTCATACATTTCACGTCTGCTTCGGTAAGTAATGGCCTGTATTCATACTTATGGTCGTCTAATTTGTTAAAGTTGTTAAGCTCAAATATTTAACGATATGATGGCGTAAACTCTCGTTATTTTATTGCCATAGAACTCTCCATGAGATTATCCAATCATTAACTTATCTCGCCTGAAAGAAAGAAATATGAAATATGGGAAGGTAAAAATGTTTGACGTCTGTTTCAATGAAATAGAAAAAGCTTTCAATTTCAAATCTTTTTTATTTGTACCCACTTCTTAAAATAAAGACCAGCGTACATATTTATGATTACCATGTAATATTTTATTAAAGCTATTAAGCTCAAATATGTCACGATGCGATAGGGGAATTTCCACGGGTGTTTTAGAGCCGTGGACTTCGTAAGAAGCTTATTCAATCATCAACTTAAGAATTAAGATTCATCAAAACATTGAAATAGGAACACCGTGAAATTTTCAGTGTTTCTTTCTTTCTCGTTATTTTAACATGCCATATATATATATATATATATATATATATATATATATATATATATATATATATATATATATATATATCGTCTGCCAGCTTTACATCGGAGCAAACGAGTTCGGGTATGTTCGTGGTTCTTGTTTTGGGAGAATGATGTTGATGGCAGCAGGTGGGAAGTTTGGGAGGATTGCCCAAGGTCTCATTAAGTGATCCACTACTGAAACCTGAGTCAGCCTAGTTATTGCATGTAGTTGTTAAGAAAAAAAATCTTTTTACAAGAAGGCAATAACATCTAAACAAAGATGAGCATCTATGTTAATTATATATATAGATTTTATAAGTAGAAATAACAAGAATATTCCTTCCTTCCTATCTATCTATCTATCTATCTATCTATCTATCTATTCTGTTCTTATCTATTTCAGTCTATTCATATCTATTTATCTATCACACTTTATAAGGCCAGGGCGCCACTCAAGGTAGAGGGTTACATTTGGAGGCCGGTTTGGCGAATAGGAGTGTAAAACAACGATTTACCCCAGTCTTGAACAGGTTAAGATTGAAACGATCGGGGAAGCATCCTGTTCATATATATCTATTCATCTATTCATATATATATATATATATATATATATATATATATATATATATATATATATATATATATTTAGCCTGGCTCCTTAGGATTACCTTATGTTTTGCTCTACTTAATGTATTGAGCACTTTACGCAGTTGTCTTTTTCCTCGTTTTGGGTTTTTTTTTCTTTGGACTTGGAGCTTAAATACTTGACGATTGTTTTCGCTTTGTTTTAATGTTCTTGGGTCTTTCTTTTTATTTCAAGGTTTTTCTTTTTTTATTTCAAGGTTTTTCCAAGCGAGTACCATCATTTATATATATATATATGTGTGTGTGTGTGTGTGAACAGGCTGAGATAGATATATATGAACAAGCTGAGACATATATATGTACAAGCTGAGACACACACATACATACATACATACATACATACATATATATATATATATATATATATATATATATATATATATATATATATATATATCTCAGCTTCTTCATATATATCTTTCTCAGCCTGTTCATACACACACGCACGCACACACACACACACACACACATATATATATATATATATATATATATATATATATATATATATATATATATATATATATATATCTGTCTCAGCCTGTTCTATCTATCTATCTATCTATCTATCTATCTATCTATCTATCTATCTATCTATCCAAGCCTGTTCATATCTATCAATCTATATTTTCTTACAGCGATGTTCACGCTTTACAAGGCCAGGGTGCCACTCAAGGTAGAGGGTTACGTTTGGAGGCCGTTTTTGCGGATAGGAGTGTAAAACGACGGTTTACCCCAGCCTTGAACAGGTTAAGATTTTTGTGATTGGGGAAACATCCTGTGCTTTCATCATGTAGAATCGGAAACTGTGCCATTCTGTCTTCGCTTAGCGGAAAATCGTTCTATGGAACGGTACATCAGGGTATGCCTTAGGTTAAGTATATAACATTTAATATTTGGTTTGCTTAACCATTGCTTGCAACAACTGCATCAAGCCTGCGATCTATTAATCTCACCAAATTTTTACATTCTTTATTTGAAATGCTTTTCCAGACTTCTAACGCAGCCTCGTTCATTTCTGTTTATTTCAGGGGTTTTCTTCCTTTAGTCTCCGCTTCAGGAGATGAAATGCATTCTCTTTTGGGTTAATGTCCTTGACGTGTCCAGCCTAAAACTGTCTACTTTTTTTTCCCTGATGAAGTCCTTTGTTTTAGGTCATTGCCCTGCTGAATGATAAACTCCCCACCCCGATTAGTTTGGATGCATTTCTCTGTAAATTGACAACAAAATGATTCTGTAGACTTCTGAATTCATTCTACTGATCCCATCATGAGTGACATCATCAATAAATATGAATGAGCCTGTTCCGGAAACAACTATCCAAATCCAAGACTAGACACAGCCTCCATCATGCTTCACAGAGAAGCTTGTATGCTTTGGATCATAGCGAAAATCCTATAATTGTGTAACCGGTAAAGTTACTCTAAATAAATATTCTTAAAGACCCCAGCTGCTTTAAACTATATTTTTAACATTTATATATGTATATATCTATCTTAATTTATTTATATCTATCTCAGTCTCTTCATCTCTGTCACCCTTATTCGCTCACTATCTTTGTATCTCAGCTTATTCATTTATCTGTCTTTCACTATACATGTTCACATCTAAATTTATGACTATCTCAGCCTATTCCTATCTGTCTCTATTCATTTCGCTTGCATTCTCAATTACTCACTCACTATCTATGTATCTATCGTCATGCACAAAACTACCAGGATGGTATCCCCAATGAAGTTCTAACCCATTACATTACCAATCGTCTACAAGGCCAGCTTACTATCTACTCCCCACCTATAGAAGGCCCTCTGATTTAATGAATTCAGCTACTTATATGTAGATTTATATATCATAAAGAAGCAGTTTTATACAAAGAATTAAATAGCAATGTTAATGTGATTTATGGCGAAATCACTTCGCTAACAAAACTTAATGAGACATTAACTTACTATTAATTCCTTGAATAATCAGATCCTTATATTCGAGTTGTTGTCAGATGGAAGACACTTGCCAAGTACTTTCGACAATTTTAAATTATCATCATCTTCATGGTGCAATTTTTCCCCATACATAGGCAAGCACTAAGACGAAATATGTGTAGATCGAAATATGTTTTTTAAATTATTCTATTTATTGACAGAATAAAAACTGCTATTTAATTCTTTCTATAAATTGTTTTTTATGATATAGAATATAAGCTTTCATATATATATATATATATAAATGACAATAGGAAAACTGTAATTGTTGTCGACGCGTTTCGTCTAATGTGGACTTTCTCAAGACAAAAACGAAAATGAATTTATTTAAACAAAGTAACTAATAATAACAAAAAACAAAATGTCCTTAGCAACTGGAAGAATTTAGAGAACGCTATTTTCATACTGTTAACTGAAAATTACGCCAATTACTGTCACGTGTGGAGATATTGTTATTATTGCTGTGTTGACGGATTCAATCATTTTCTTCTCCACACATGACAGTAATTGATGTAATTTTCATTACTGACACACGTGTTCAATTCCGGCTCTCGTGTTCAACGACTGTCCCATTCCGACTCACGAGTTAAACACCTGTTCAACCCTAACACACGTGTTCAACACCTGTTCAATACTAACTCACGTGTTCAACACCTATCTTGACTCATGTGTTCAATCCTGACTCGTCTTCAACATTTGTTCAATCATGACGCACGTGTTCAACACCTATTCAACCCTGGTTCACATGTTCAATACCTATTAAATAATGACTCATACCTACGCAATCCTGACTAACCTAATCAGCTCTGACCCACGTGCTCAACACCTGTTCAACATCTATTTAACAACGACGCAGGGGTTCAACACCTGTTTCATTCTGACAAACGTGTTTATTCCGTGAGCCAGGCCCGAACTCTCACATGCAGGGTAAACAAGTGAAACATTCTAGGTGCATATACCCAGAGGTGAGGCCCGCCCCTCTGACACCATTCTACTCCCCCTTCACTGTTAATAAAATATGAACTAATTTCAGCGTCAAAAATTCCTATTCACGCCCTAGTTCCGATGTAAAGGTCGGCTTTCTCTCGTGAAAACATTCTGGCGACCAGCCAAGTAACGAGACAATATATATCAGTCAACCGAAGAAAGACCAGAGAATTTAACATCGTTGAATAAAATTCAAAGGTAAATAAGGCCGTCCAATTTAATTAATGAATATCAAGAAGTTAGTCCTGCAAAAGTCCTGTTACCGCTGTTACTATGTCCATTGATCTACGTTACCACTATCCCGGCGTTGCTTAGTATACTTTTATAACCGCTACCATGTTCCTCAGAATATTTTACCACTATTATGATGTTCCTTAGCATTCTTCATATCTTCCATCATGTTCCTTAGTATATCTTACCACTATTACCATGTTCCTAAGTATACGTTACCACTATCCCGGCGTTGCTTAGTATACTTTTATAACCGCTACCATGTTCCTCAGAATATTTTACCACTATTATGATGTTCCTTAGCATTCTTCATATCTTCTATCATGTTCCTTGGAATATCTTACCACTATTACCATGTTCCTAAGTATACGTTACCACTATCCTGGCGTTGCTTAGTATACTTTTATAACCGCTACCATGTTCCTCAGAATATTTTACCACTATTATGATGTTCCTTAGCATTCTTCATATCTTCCATCATGTTCCTTAGTATATCTTACCATTATTACCGTGTTCCTAAGTATACGTTACCACTATCCCGACGTTCCTTAGTATACTTTTATAATCGCTACCATGTTCCCCAGTCTATTTTATCGCTACTACCATGTTCGTTAGTATACTTTATATCTGTTACTAACATGCTCCTTGGTAAAACTAATGCTATGCACTATTTACCAATTTCCAATTTATAAAGAAATAAATATGAAAAACAAATTATTAATAAATGTATAAACATTTACTGAATCATTAAATTATGTGCGCCTACTATAAAGAAATCCATATAATTTACCATTTTATAAAGTTCAATTAGCCGATGTTGTGCCAACCATTTCAATATTGGAATAAATAAATAGTGTTTAATATTTTTGTTGTAAATTCTCAAAAACAAAATAAAATGTATGAATTCACTTTCATCAGTTTAGGTTTTATTAAAATTTTAATCACCGCTTTTTGAACACATATATCGACAGGATGAGGGCTTAGCAATGGGCTCGCCTTTATCACCAGCAATGGCAAATATATACATGAAATACTTTGAGGAAATGGCATTGGAATCTATGTCTCTAAAGCCAACTATATGGTTAAGGTACGTAGATGACACCTTCATACTCTGGCTACACCAGGAAGATGTTCAGGTTCTATTGGACCATGTGAACTCAATAAGACTTTCGATACAGTTCACAATGGAGAAAGAGAGCAACAACACACCCCCATTCCTGGATGTTCTAATATTTAGAACAGAGCATGGGTTTAAGACATCCGTATACCGTAAACCGACATTCACCGGACAATACCTCAATTTCAACTCCCACCATCCATACAGCGTAAAGAAATGGATCGTCCGTTGCTTACAACACCGAGCAAAAGTCATAAGTGGCGACCCAGAGACGTTAGATAAAGAATTGGTTAGTATAAGTAGTACCCTACAACGTAACAACTACCCTGGGTACATGGCAGCAGCCCCCCCCCACAAAAAAAAAAACTGGGATAGACGGGTACAAAAGGAGGAAAACAGTCTGCCTGCCTTATGTGAAGGGGTTATCAGAGAAAATACAAAGGATCTGCGGTCCATATAACATCAGGACAACCTTCAAAAGCTGGACGACACTTCGCAGATATCTCTCTCGAGTGAGACCCCCACATAGAGGAGAACATGACTAAAGACTGTGTGTACGCTATCCCGTGCAGCTGCGGAAAGAAATATAGAGGGGGAGACAGGCCACCCCCTCAAGGTAAGGCTTCAAGAACACCAGAAAGCTGTAACACGAGGAGAAGTGGAAAAATCAGGCGTGGCTGACCACATATGGAGAGAGAAGAGAGATCACCGCCCTCTGAGGGATCATGTTGAGATCATAGACAAGGAAAACCATTGGAAAATTTGTAAACTTAAGGAATCAGCACATATGCTAGGCCACAAAAATCTCCTGATCGATCAAGCATAGAAATAAACACAATATAGGAACCAGTAATAAGGAGTTCCAGAGAAAAGCAATGATAACAACAAAGTTGCAATATGAGCTCTGGTAAAAACATGAAATGATAACAGCAAAATTGCAATACGAGCAATGGTAAAAATGGTTGCTGAAGACATTAGGTTTATAATACCCAGAAATTCATACACAGATGTCCTCAAGGACACATGTGGATAAAGGCGTTGGTTAGATCCAGCAACAGAACCCAAAGCGTGTGAGTTCAATACCCGGTTAAGGCAGTGGAGAACTTTCAGAGGGAAAAGTAACAGGAAATAACTGATAACTGACATCCATCAAAACATGGCACGTGGAACTAGAACAGTCTACCCCAGTGAGCGAAATAAAGGGTTCAGTTCGACATTCCAACCACCTGAAGAAGGCCGGAGCGTACAACGGCCGAAACGTAGTGATAAATATGGCGACAAAGATGAGGACAATAGTCCGAATAATGTAAATAATGTATTTCATTCATTTTCAAGGATACTTCTATTTGTAGTTGAGCAACCTGTTTTTTATTCCGGTGTCCTTACGTTTCAAGGAATCTATTGAAGTCACTCAGTGTGGCATCATATAAACGGTAAAATTGAAATTTTCTATTGTGTGTTTGTGCGCATGCGTGTGTGTGTGTGTTATATTAAACACACTCCAATATACGGTTCCCTATAGAGAAAGGCACCTTCTTTAATGTTGGCTGATTCTCTTTTATTACAACAACCTCCAGAATTTGGAGTCTTTCTTGGCACTGTGTCCTGTATAAAATTTTGATGTTGTCAACTAAAATTTGTCTAATGTTAATATATATTTTATCTATTCGTCATATGCTCATCTATATGTGCACGAATTGCACTAAAATTTTGACAGATGACAAGTTAACCCTCGATGTGTGGCCAATATTAGAATTTAATGCTGTTTGTTGATTGTTAGTGTTTGAGATACAATCTCCTAAAGGACATAAGAAATATTAATATTATTAAATATTATTTTTTATATATTTTAGATTTTTTGAGGTGATTAATTATTTGAAAGAATTAGTTTGGACGTTTAGAATTTTTTATAACAGATGTTAGCTGTAAGATATTTGTTAGGATCTATAACTTTTATATAACGGTGGATTATAATGTTAGTAGTCATCTCCTCTTGTTTATAATTAGGACGCATCCGGTTACAATAAAACAATTTAATGGAGTCTTTATTTTTGTTTATATCAAGTTGGTTGTTTGTATTATTTTTTTTCTATATTTCTTTAAAGTTAATCTTGTTTTTCATCAACAACATGGCTTGGGAAATTATAGTAGATAAGTGTTTGCTTGATGTCGTATAATTCTCTCTACAACAATGTGTCGGAAGAGGAAATCATTTTAACACGATAAATCGTATTTTTATAACACCTATTTTATATATCTGTTGACATTCCCTTTTATAATAAAGTAGACATGAGTTTTTACGAGTGTTTTTTTTTTATATAGTCAAATGATAAAATCATCATTATTTGTATCTATTAGAACATCCAGGAAAGGGATTCTATTTTTAATGTTCCTATCTATCTATCTATCTATCTATCTATCTATCTATCTATCTATCTATTGTAACCAAGGAAAGGTTACTGGATAGAATAATCAAACGAAGGTTGGTAATGAACGATAATACTTAGGACACGAACAACATGTATAAGATTCGCCAGCGGCGCGTAGAAGTAGTCAACTGCTAGAAGTGAGTCAAGTGAATTCCACAATGAATCTACAACCAACATACAGTATTTACTACTGTATTTATGTGAATGGGGACATACCCATTATCGTCTGTAGTTATGTTACAACACTATCACAGTTTGTTCATATCTTAGTCTGTCCATATCTATCTATCTATCTATCTATCTATCTATCTATCTATCTATCTATCTATCTATCTATCTATCAGGCTTTTCCTATCTATCTATCTATCTATCTATCTATCTATCTATCTATCTATCTATCTATAACATCGATGTTAAATATTCCCGATATGAGGCATCATCTTTTGCTTATATTAGCTTATATCGAGAATATTTAACATCGAAAAACATAAAGGAGTAAAAATGAATTATTTTTAATAATATGCGGAAATCTCAACCCTTTACCTGATGACTGTCGCGAGACCAGAAACACGTGTAGCAAAATTATGGAAAATAAAGCATAATATTAAAAAAAACATCCACATTACAACCAAAAACGTTTGAGGTTTCTCTCTTCTTTTTAATATATACACTTTTCTCTCGTTGGAACTACTATAACCTCTTCCTTTTATATATATATATATATATATATATATATATATATATATATATATATATATATATATAACACTCTCAATATGCTCGTCTTAACTATTTAAACCCTCTTCATCCTTTTTTGTACTTGAGATGGCTCCAATATGATCGTCTATGCAAGGGAGATAATCAAGTAACACTAGCTTCGTCACTATGGAAATGCTATATGGTTCCTGCTATTTGCTGGAATTTTTCATTCGTCATTCATGGAACGAGATCAAGAATGTGCACTTACGCAATTGTTATATTTGATTTATTTTTGTTTTTGCCAAATAATTCTGTCTTTCTGCTCTACAGAAAAGCTGCATTCCAATCAAGGGATAATGATCTGGTGTCGATGTTAATAAGAACTCTTCTTTTTCGTGCCATAAAATTACCCTACAATCATGACGTAATTATTTACGCTCATTATATATATTTTGTTATATGATAACGTATGATAAAGCAAAGTTCCATTACATACAAGGGTGGGCTGAAAGGTTTGTAGGCTGATTATCAAGGAGTTTATTTAATCAATGATATGTCGATTTGTAGTACAAAGCCGAAGGTGGGGAAAAGTTTGGTGAACATTGTTTGCCCTAGTCCTAGCCTATCCGATTCATGAACCATTCACACTGTAGAGTGACTGATTGGTTTGCTTTGCTTTGTTTTACGGCATATCAACCTCAATGGGTCATTTAATGCCGATAACTTTTTTTTAAGGTAATATTTTTGTTTTGTCGAAAATCTATTTCTCGTAATATTTTTCTTAAAAAATGTATAGCTGGTAATATTATTTTAAAAATGTATTGCTGGTAATTTCTTTTTTCAAAAACGTATTGCTGGTAACAGTTTTTTTTTCTTCAAAAATTTATTTCTGGTAATAATATTTTACAAAGTATTTCTGGTATTAAAACCTATTTTTACACTTTCATAATGCTTTTTACCTCAGTTTCGGGATTAACTATTTGCCCATAGCTGGGACTCTAACAGGTGCTACCACCTCGGATCAGGGTGGACCTGGGAACACCAGCAATTAAGAGTTGGTTCCACGCTCCTCAAAACCTCCTGATCAGAGACCTTGCTGCTGGACCTAGTTTATCGTCTTACCCAAGACGCGGGTGTAGTTTATCGTCATACCCAGGACGAATAGAGTGAATGACCATGGTTAAATGTAAATAAACAGCAGAACACTTTCTAGCCATTAAATCAGCCCGGCTCTTGGTTTCATCTGACTCAGTCCCGGTCTGTCTTGACTTGAAGTCAGACCGCTACGTTCGCTTGACCGCTTTTGTGTGCCAAACCCAATTCTTAGTTTGTGAACTTTTTGCTATATTACTATTGCTTTGCCTTATTGCTGTTAATATATGCACTGCAAATTAACCGTCTCCTTCCCGTCCTTGGTATGACGATAAACTACATCCGCGTCCAGGGTAAGACGATAAAATACGTCCAACAGCAAGGCCTCTGAACAGGAGACTTTGAGGAGCGTGGAACCACCTCTTAATTGTTGGTGTTCCCTGGTCCACCCTGACCCGGGGTAGTAGCAGCTGTTAGGATCCCAGCTATGGGCAAAGAGTTAACCCCAAAACTGAGCTAAAAAGCATTATGAAGTTGTAAAAATAGGTTTTAATACCAGACATACTTTGTAAATAATTATTACCAGAAATAAATTTTTGAAGAAAAAAAAACCATTACCAGCAATACGTTTTTGAAAAAAAATTACCAGCAATACATTTTTAAAGTGATATTAACAAGTATACATTTTTGAGGAAAAAAATATTATGAGAAATGGATTTTTGACAAAACAAAAATATTACCAAGAAAAAAAAAGTTGTCGGCATTAAATGACCAATTGAGGTTGATATGCCGTAAAACAAACCAACCAACCAAACAAACAAAACGTCTTCTTCAACCTACGATAATACCGATGGCAATCAGGCTTGTCTGTCAAAACCGCTTTGAAATGGAGAATAGAGAGTCTGATCAAGCAGTTCAAAGCCACAATCACGTACAGCAGCCCTTGAAATCAAGGACCTGTTTGTTGTAGAATTGTCCTGATGAAACAAGGCAATGAAATAAGCCCAGGAACTTTCCAGCCTAACCTCGTGCATAAGTAATGTGCATATTTCCTTGGCCCTTCTTCCAGTCTATATCTGCTGGCTTCATTTCCATATATGTATCCACTTACCTACCTAAATCTCATACTATGAAGGCATCGAACCTACGAAAGTCAACCTGCCCGACGATCTCTCACTGTCTTGGAAGAAAGTCGGAACATTCACCAGGGTCAGATATATTGAGGGTGTCAGACCATGAGAGCTGGATGGATAATCGAGCTTCTACTAATTGTTCATTTAGAAACATCCTTTTCTCGCTAGCCAAATAAATCTGTCGTTGAACAATCCCTGATAAAATGGAGGTGCAGAGCGAGGTCGACATCCTTCCACTGACTGCGTGATCTACGGCGATATCGTTTCTAGCCTACAGATAGCAAGTCGAAATGGTAGATGACTCCGGTGGGGTGGTCATCAGGTTGTTGCAGGGCGTAACCAAACCATCAGACACGGCATTGAACGGGGCTACGGACGTTACTTAGCTGGCCGGTCTTCTGGCGGAACACGCTGGATGCAAGACCTAACTAGACCACCCTTCGATAGTCTTGTCGCCTCCTCGTTGAGTCTGTTAGCCTGCGTCGAGCAAACAACCTGGCTAGATTTATTTTCACAGTAACGTTCACCCTGTAAAATGCCCGGAGGCCACTCAAGGTAGAGGTTAAGAGGAAGTATATACGGATAGGTGAGAAAGGTAATGGATAATTCTAGACTTTAACAGGTTAAGAATGTAATGATCGGGGAAACGTCCTCTTGGGAGTCGGTTCCACAGAGCAGTGTTTCGTTGAAAGAAGCTGTTGGAGTGGAACTTACTTCTCATCAATGGAATACGAAGGGAATGTGGATGGCTTGCTACAATGTAAGTGGCATGTCGGGTCCTAGTCGTGAGGGTTAGAACTGGCTGAGCCAAGGAATGTAGTTCGTCCGAGCACTTTCCATGGAAGTAGCGATAGAATAGTGAGAGGGTTGCCTGAGAGCGAGGTTGAAGAGCGGAGAATAATTCGTCACCCACAAGGATTCGGGGGCGCTTTTAAACTCCATCGGGTCAGGAAAATGGGGACTGTGCAGCTCCCTCCTAAAAATGATAACAGTACACCATTTTCGGCCAGTCTGAAAGTAATTTCCTGTTTGAGCTCATCAATGTTAGCAGGAAGAGGGGGGACATAGACCATTCCATTCACATATCCCTATAAAATTTTGCATTGAAGGCACACTGCATTGAAGGCACGCTACACTGTCTTGGATGACTGTGTGCGAGCATATATCCCAAGACCTTGTAAAGCTAGAGGATAACATGAGGAATCAGGTACTTACTGGAACGGTTCAAAGAGCCGACCATTTTACCTGCATCTCTAGCGATGGATCTTATGCCCGAATTCCACGCGGCCAGGTGTGTGTTTGAGGACCAATAGTCTTTCAAGGCATGGTGTTTCTTCGAGAGGACATCCGTTTATGATAACTGGCATTAGTTCGATCCTTCTATCGTTAAGATACAATTTTACGATATAATTTTCTTCAGTTGCACACTTCACTTTGGACATATGCATGTAATGTGAGTGGTCTACCAAAATAAACACAGCGCTGAGCAGTAGTTCGGATGATGCTTGGCTGACCAATCCTCTGGCGGAGGATCGAACCAGTGAACCCCTCAGTTGTTGTGAGTGCGCAGGTCTCGAAGCCATGGACGCGCGAGGTGAGATCATTTTTTGAGAGGCCACGTCTCGACGCCGTATAGAGAGGACGGTGGGTTTGTACTCTCGTAACTTGGTGAGTCGGGAGATTTCACATTGCTCTACATAGGTCTTTCATGACGCCTGCAGCCAGCCCACGTCTTCTGTTGGCCTCCGTAAGAATGTCGTCTCTATTGGAAACTTCTGCGCCAAGGTAGACAAAAGACGTGACGAATGATGATCCTCAGTGGATTGGAGCCGTCTCCTATGTCTATCAGATTAGTCTTCGATCAGTTGACACGTAGTCAAAGCCTTGTCGCCTCCTCGTTGCGTTGGCTAGACTGCATCAGGTAAACAACTCGACCAGGTGAATCCTTTTATTGTTACGATACAATTTTACGATATAATTTTGTTCTGTCGCACACCTTCCTTTAGACAGACGCTTGTAATGAGAGTGGTCCACCAAAAATCGCCAGCTTCATTTGTTTACTCACCAAAAGCAACACAAACGTTCTTTCTTGTTCTATTTCCCAAAATACAGGGTGTCCCAAAAAATTTGACATCATTTCGCAGACCAATAATTTTGGGAATTCTTGTTGAAATAACCTCGATTTTTCACAAAAGGTATAGAAGCAAATCAAGATTTTATATTCAATATTTTATTTTTGTTCTGTTTTCAGGTTGAGCCATGCCGTTAACTCCCAAAGAGAAGTCATTTTGCGTCTGGGAATATTCTCGCACATAGTCAACCCCAAGACTGTGCAGCGTACCTTCAATGCAACCTGACTTCAATGCAAAATTTCATTTTGATATGTGAAGGGACTGGTCTATGTCCTTCCTCTTTCGGCTAGCATTGATGAACTCAAGCAGAGAATCACTTCCGCACTGGATAATGTTACCGGAGACATGCTACAACGTGTTTGGCAAGAGCTTAACTACCGACTTGATGTGCGCCGTGTCTCAGGCGGCGCACATATTGAACACTTATAAAACCGGTCCAATAATAAACTTATGATGTTCAACACCTAAACTGTTCAATTTTATTGAGCTAGACTTAGTAATTTTCTGGATAATTACTTTTTGGTAAGTTTGTTGGTGTCAATTCTTGTGTTATTTAGTGTGAAACGTTAAAGCCAATAATTATCTGGAACGTAATCAGTTCCGTTTGTCTTTACACAAAGCCGTGTGATACACTATTTACATTATTCGGACTATGGTCCTCATCTTTGTCGCCATATTTATTACAACGTTTCGGCCTGCTTCAGGTGGTGGGGATGTCGAACTGAACCCTTTATTTCGCTCACTGGGGTAGACTGTTCTAGTTCCACGTGCCATGTTTGATGGATGGCAGTTATCAGTTATCTCCTGTTAAATCCCCTCTCCAAGTTCTCCACTGCCTTAACCGGGTATTGAACTCACATTCTTTGGGTCCTGACACTGGATCTAACTAAGGCCTTTATTCACTGTGCCATGTGTCCTTGTGTGTGATAACTAAATGCTGTTACCTCCACAAACGAGAACAGACACATTTGTTAGATTTCGATTACTCTTATACGAATCAGACGACTTCTAAAGGAAAAAGAATCGGCGAAATAACGAGAAGGATCATAAATCTTTAACAGCCGTATTCAGGTGTACAACCGTTCTTAACTCGGAAAAATCCTCTTTCAACAGAACCCAGAGCACATTAAGCCAAGTGATCAAGTCTGAACTTTGAGGTGGTCAGATTGGACGGCCGATCGAGCTTCAACTAATTATTCATTTAGAAACGTTCTTTCTTCGCGAGCCAAAGAAATCTGCCGTTGTCGAATCTTGGTGAAGAATTCCTGACAAAATGGAAACTTTTACTGTGCAGTTATAGAATGAATAAATCCTGATCGTTAACATATTTCTCAACGTAACCGAAGACAAATGTTGTTAAGAGTAATGAAATTATTGAGATAAAAATTTCCGTTTTAATGAGTCCTCTTATGGAATTGGGTCAAGCTACTAATAATGATGATAGTAATAACAATAATAATAATAGAAGAAGAAGAAGAAGAAGAAGAAGAAGAAGAAGAAGAAGAAGAAGAAGAAAGTGTAGTGGCATAAAAAACGAAAAGAAAGGGAAGTTGAAGAAAAAGCAAAAAGGAAAAATAGAAGTAAAAGAAAGCAAAGCAGAAAAAAACGTAAAGAGGAAAAAGAAAAAAGAAGAAAAATATCAAGAATCAGAAAAGAAAGACGAAGAAAGAAAGAAAGAAAGAAAGAAACAAAGAAAGAAAGAGTTAAATAATAATAATAAGTGTGTGATGGAAGAAAAAGGCAAAAAAGACGAGGAAACGAAGCAAAAAATGCGAAGAAGCGGAGGAGAAAAAGGAGGAGGTGAAGGAGGAGGAGAAAGAGGAGGAGGAAGATGTAGCGGAAGAAAAAACGAAAAGAAAAGGAAGGTGAAGAAAATGGCAAAAGAGAAATAGGTAAAGTAGAAGAAAAAGAAAGCAAAAAAAAAAAAATGGGAAGAAGAAAGAGAAAAATGAAAACTATCAAAAATCAGAAAAGAAAGGCTAAGGAATCAAGAAGAAGAAAAGAAAAGAAAGAAAAAGAAGGAAGAGTTAAAGAATAATAATAGGAGCATAATGGAAGAAGAAGGCAAAAAAGTTAAGTAGAAGAAAAAGAAGTTAAAAATATTAAGAAGAAAGGGGAGGAGGGAATACAAAGAAGAAGGAGGAGGGTAGGAGAAGGAGGGGAACAAGAAGGAGGAGGAAGAAGAAGAAGAAGAAGAAGAAGAAGAAGAACAACAACAACAACAACAGCAGCAGGAGTATTAGTTCCTTGGTAAAATTTAATGTTTTCATGTCGTCTGCTTGCAGCAAATATTGTGACTTAATTGACCTTATATTTCACAAGGGACTAAATTTCTTTTATATTCATGTTACCTATTATTATATACTATATATTAATAATAATATAAAACAATACTTATAAACTGAGTAATATATTATTATATATTCAGATTAACTATTTTTATGTATTAGATATTAAGATGCGTTTTATCCTTCAAGACTTCAGCGGACTAAAGTGATGGTCCTTTTAATATAATTTCATATTTTATGAAGAGGAGGGCAAATATAAAAAGGCAAACGTTACAACTAAGGACTAATAGAAAATGATGAAACTGTTGGGACGCTGAAATTTTGAATTTTTTAATTGAAATTGATTTTTTCCTGTTAAGTAATTGTCTATCGGACTATTATTTTTTAAAGAGTTGTATTCTCCTCTGACTTCTTCATCTTTGAGGTCAAATATAGGAAAACAAAGGAAGTCGTTTTTGATTGGTTAAAATTAGCGTTGGAATGTTAGACTGATAGAAAGTGATTTCAAGGAGTTAATTTTTAAATAATATAGGTACGCCCACAGAAACGCAAGGGTTTAAAATGAATTTTTAAAAATAAAAAATTGTGAGGCTTTTATTTTAGTTTTAATTTGACGCTAATAGATTAAATTTAATATTTCCAATGAACAAAATACATTTTCTGTATTTCAAAACTAATTCCAATTGATTGGAATGAGTTTTCGTTTTGAAATTGCTAATCATCGCTGATTTTAGCGCCATTTTTAGCCTTCCATTTTAGCTGGGAATAGCGTGGCAAGACAAGGTGCCCAACACTGAGGTCTCGTCTCAAGCAGGTCTGCCAAGTATGTTCACACTGCTCAGACTGTGCAGACTCCGTTGGTTAGGCCACGTCCACCGCATGCCAAATGGCCGCATCCCCAAAGACCTCCTCTATGGAGAGCTGTCCTCTGGAAGGAGACCCGACGGGTGGCCACAGCGATACCGCGATGTCGTGAGGCGCGACATGAAAGCTGTGGACATCAACACAGAGTCCTGGGAAAGCCTGACAGCCTTACGATCCAAGTGGAGAAGAACCCTGACCAAACACCTCAAGTCGGGTGGGGGTGGGGGGAGCTGACACAAGTCGTCACGGAAAGGCAGGCCCGTAGAAAGCAAAGTGACAGCTCCAACAGACCAGTGACAGAACACACATGCGACCTCTGCAACAGAGATTGTCACTCCCGCATCGGCCTCTACAGTCAAAGACGTCGTTGCTCCAGCCAAGCAGACAACCAGGATGTTACACAGGATCAACCCTGACCGACGAAGGCCTTATATATTAGCCTTCCTTCATCACGATGCATTTTTTTTTATTAAAAAATCTTGATGACACAATAGCGTTGATTGAAGTAATCCAGTGACTTGATCCAAAGAGTTGTGAGTTCAATACCTGGCTTGAACAGAGGTGAACAAAAGCAATCTACCCCGGTGGACGAAATAAAGGGTTCGGTTCAAAATTTCAATCACCTGAAGAAGGACGGAGTGTACAGCAGCCGAAACGTCATTAATATGACAACAAAGATAAGGAGAAAAATCCGAACGATGTGAATAGCTTAGACGGAAATTTATCTAATTTTTTTTCTACGGTGGATATATCTGTAAACATTACTCGAGGAATATATTTTTATATTTTATATATATATATATATATATATATATAATTTTTTTAACCCAGTAATCTTAAAAAAATAAGCAAATATTCTCCGTAATATAATATATTATATAATTTTAGGTACCGTATTTGACGGCATATAAGACGCACAGGTGTATAAGACGCACCCCAATTTCAGCAGGGAAAATCATGAAAAATTATCAATTAGTAAAATTATTAGTAAATGGTACAGCTATGGCTATATTTATGAGGTATTATTTTGGTTAAATATGCCATGGTTAGAATTAAACAAAAAATAATAGGAAAAAAGGAACACGAGTCTATCAAAATTTTATTATATCCAAAGGTAAGAAAACAAAATAAAAATCAAGCAATTATTACAATTGAGCAAAACAGTAGAGTTGCCATTAAAATTTTATTCATCTTCAAATCCATAAAATTCGTTGTTTTCGTTATCAAAACTCTGATATTCATTTTCAATACTGTTATCATCGTCGTTAAATAATGCGTCATCCTCCATTCCACTAAGAGAATTGCTAATGCCACACTTTTTAAAAGATTTCACAACAATTTCTGGTCTAATATTATCCCAAGTTTGCTTCACCCATTCGCAGACTTGTGCAATGCTGAATCTTTTTATTCTTCCTGTAAGTGTAAGGTCGTGATCAGGCATTGCCATCCACGTGTTCCATTGCTCTTTCATATTTAAGTCTAAGCTAATAGGAGTTGCCAGGTAGCTAATTTCGGCCGACTATCA